TCTAGGTCAATTGGAATAACAAAGTTTATTAAGAAAATGTTCTGCATCCTACTTTGGTGAGTGGCGTCTGGGGTCTTAAAAGCCTGTGAGTGGCCATCTAAGATGCATCAATTGGTCTCAACTCACCCGGAGTAAATGATTGAAGACCACCAAAATGAAGACCACCAAAGACACAAGGAAAGTATTAGCCCAAGAGTCAGAAAGGGCCACATAAACCAGAGACTTCATCAGCCTGAGACCAGAAGAACTAGATGGTGCCCTGCTACTAGATGACCACTCTGACAGGGAACACAGCAGAGAGTCCCTGATGGAGTGGGGGAAGGATGGGATGCAGAACTCAAATTCTAGTAAAAAGACCAGACTTAATGGTCTGAGACTGGAGGAACCCCAGAAAGCATGGCCCCCTGACTCTCTTGTCAACCCAGAACTAAAACCATTCCCAAGGCCAACTCTTCAGACAAAGATTAGACCGGGCTATGGGACATGAAATGATACTCGTGAAGAGTGTGCTTCTTAGCTCAAGTAGATACATGAGACTAAATGGATAGCTTCTGCCCGGAAGTGAGATGAGAAGGCAGAGAGGGTCAGGAGCTGGTTGAACGGACACAGGAAGTCGGGTGGAAAGGAGGAGTGTGTTGTCACAGTACAAGGAGAACAATTAGGGTCACATAACAATGTATGTATAAATTTTTGTATGAGAGACTAACTTGAATTGTAAACTTTCGCTTAAACTACAACAATAAAAAAAAATACAAAAAAAAATATTCCTCCCTCTCCAACTACATATCTATGTGAAGTTGGATTTTCTTAATATGCTTCAACCAATTCAACATATTGCAGCAGATTGAACGCAGAAGCAGTTTTGAGAACCCAGCTGTCCTCTATTAAGTCAAACATTAAAGATATTTGCCAAAATATAAAATAAGGCCACTCATCTCACTAATGTTTTGTTAATGAAAAGTAGTTATTTTTCATTAGAATGTTATATTGTTATGATTTTTAAATGAACAGAAAAGCAAGTATCTCAGTTACCTAGTGCTGCTATAACAGAAATACCACAAGTGGGTGGCTTTAACAAACAGAAATTTATTTTCTCACAGTTTAAGAGGCTAAAAGTCCAAATTCAGGGCGCCAGCTCTAGAGGAAAGCTGTGGGCTCTGGGGGAAGGTCCTTGTCTCTTTTCAGCTTCTGTTTCCTCGTTCCTTGGAAAGCTTATGTCACATGGCATCTATTTTCCCCCATCTCTGCTTGCTTAATCTGCTCTTTTATATCTCAAAAGAGATTGACTGAAAACACACCCTACACTATATTGCCTCATTAACATAACAAAGGCAACCCATTCCCAAATGGGATAACCACAGGTATAGTAGAATTTGGAGTCCTGGTGGCGAAGTGGTTAAGCACTTGGCTGTTAACCAAAAGGTCGGAAGTTTGAACCCACCAGCTGCTCTTCAGGGGGGACAAATGTGGCAGTCTGCTTCTGTAAAGATTACAGCCTTGGAAACCCTATGGGGCAGTTCTTCTCTGTCCTGTAGGGTCACTATGAGTCAGAATCCACCCAACAGCAATGAATATAGTAGGATTTACAACACATATTTTTGGAGGACACAATTCAATCCATAATAGCAAGTGTGGGAAGTCAGCTCAGGTTTTTATAACTTGGTACTTTGAAGATCAGTTAACTTTACCAGGTTACATGAGCATCTCTGGCTGAGCTGCGTGTTCACATGGGAGAGAGGTCATGTGGACACAGCAGTGAAAACTATTCCTACAGCAGCCATATGGCTAAAATGGGTCTGCACAGTCAGAACTGTTCTTATCATAATATGAATACATTATTTGCCCTTTGCAATGTTTTTGACATTTGCACGTATGTCACAAAAGTGATGGTGAGTAAAATTTCTGGTGCCTTAGTACAAATGAAGTCAGTGACACCAAACGGCACTAGTGTTCCTTGTATTCTTCACCACCATGCACTCGCGGTTAAAATAGAAGTGCCCAGTTTTGCCTTAGAATGTTCTTGATGAAGCCATAAAAAGTATTAAATTTATTATTATTAATTATATTATATACTGATTATTTTTAGCATTATTAATTTTATTAAATCTTGATCATGAGTACATGTTTTTTCAATATTTTCTGTGACGATCAAATGTGAAGTATGTACAAAACACGTCTGCTGCATGACACGGTATAATGGTTGTCACCAGGAAAGAAAAAAAGCGTTGCTGTCGAGTCAGTTCCAACTCATAGTGACCCTATAGGACAGAGTAGAACTGCTCCATAGGTTTTCCAAGGAGTGGCTGGTGGATTCGAACTGCTGACCTTTTTAGTTAGCAGCTGAATGCTTAACCGCTGTACCACCAGGGCTCATATCACCAGGAAACCCATTGCCATCGAGTCGATTCCAACTCATAGCGACTCTATAGGACAGAGTAGAACTTCCCCATAGGGTTTCCAAGGAGCGCCTGGTGGATTTGAACTGCCAGTCCTTTGGTTAGCAGTCGTAGCTCTTAACCACTATGCCACCAGGGTTTCCATCACCAGGAGAGCTCTTGTGAAATTGAGTTGGCGGCTAAACTAATGACTTTTTTCCATGAAACTCCATTGTTACTTGAAAGAATGACTGAGAAACTGTGGTTAGTCAGGCTTGGGTATTTGGCAGACATTTTCTAGAAAAATTAAATGGAGTGAGCCTGTCATTTCAAGGAAGAATTTACAGTATTTGTTGTCAACTTGGAGGGCAGTGTTGGTCCAGTAGTAGAATTCTCACCTTCCAGGCAAGAGACCTGGGTTCGATTCCTGGCCAGTGCACCACGTGCATAATCACCACCCATCCATCAGTGACAGTTTGCACGTTGCTACGTTGCTGAGCAGGTTTCAGCAGAACTTCCAGACTAGACAGACTAGGAAGAAAGGCCTGGCAATATACTTCCAAAAATCAGCCAATGAAAACCCTGTGGATCACAATGATCTAATCTGCAACTATCATGGGGATGGTGGAGGACCAGGCAGCATTTCATTCCATTGTGTATGGAGTCCCCATGAGTTGGGGCTTGACTCAAAGTTCGCTAACAACAACAACTTTATAAAGTGGCTGTGACACTAAATTGGTTCATTCAAATTAGAAAACATTTAGCCTAGTATCTGGCACATACTAAGCACTCAAGTAATGAGACCTGCTTTGTCCCTGTGAGGCTATGAGCCTTTGACTCTCCACTCATGATGGGTTTGCAGCAACATGTCATATTATCCTCATGGTGTTTAATTAATGAATATTGATTCACAGTAGGCTAGGGTCTCTTGTTATATGTACTTCACCACAGTCACACAGGGAAAAAGTTACTCTCAAATTCAACAGAATTACCTAAATAGCAAGTGCTAGGTGCTTAAAGGAGCCCTGGTGGCAAAGTGGTTAAGAGCTCAGCTGCTAACCAAAAGGTCAGCAGTTCAAATCCATCAGCCACTCCTTGGAAACCCTATGGGACAGTTCTACTCCATCCTGTAGGGTTGCTATGAGTTGGAATTGACTTGACTTCAACAGGTTTTTGACAGGTGCTTTAAACTTTTCCTCTTAATGAGAAAGAATGGGCAGTACTATCAGCTAAAGTGGCACCTGCTGATCTTTAATGGACTGTTCATTAAAGAGTATACTCGCTGTTAGAAACTAGAAAAATTTGTATATGGCCTTAAGAAAAAGAATTGGTGTTTTTCTCTAAAGTTCTTACCATATAATCTATTAGTGACACATCTAAGATTTAACTGCAGAGACGTGATCGCAAGAATGAATCCCAGTGAGCATCTTTCTGTTAGGTTTGGGTAAAGCTATTTTCAGTATACTGTGCTGATCGCAACATTTTGCTCTTTTACTCAGAGGCTCCAAAGATTCGCATCCCAAGGCACCTGAAGCAAACCTACATCCGCAGAGTTGGAGAAGCCATCAATATGGTTATACCTTTCCAGGTAATATTCAGGGTTCGCTCATTTTCTCTTTCCAGGGCTGGGGTGTTTAAGAAGTAGAGGGAGACTCTCTAGCGTTAAGTTCATCATGAGTGAGGATTTCCTCAGAGGGAGAGTAGGTTAATAATGGAAGAGATTTGGGGGACTATTAAACAATCTCCTGCTTTAGCAGTAGAGAAATCTATTAAAAAAAAAAAAAAAACCTTGTCATAGATTTTCCTTCTGCATGAGACAAATTAGATCTAGACTTGTCTGAAGATCAGAGATTAGGGTGAGGTAGAGAGGAAATGAGGAGCCTTGGTGGTGCAATGGTTAAGCACTCGGCTGCTAACAGAAGGGTCAGCAGTTTGAACTCACCAGCAACTCAGTGGGAGAAAAGACCTGGCAATCTGCTCCTGTCAAGATTAGAGCCTAGGAAACCCTATGGGACAGTTCTCCTCTATCCTATAGGGTCAGTATGAGTCGGAATCGACTCAACAACAACAGGGAGGAAACAGCAAGAATCCACCAAAAGAAGAAATGCTTGAAGATTCTTTCTAGTCCTACAAACCTGTAAAACTGATCTTGGTTTTAAGTGAAGTTCTCGGAGTAACATTGAGGAAAACGGCATGTGCTTCCTTCCCACAATTATCCCAAACCAAACGAAACTCCAATCAGAATAAGAGGGATAACTGAAATGTGAAACCTTGATGCCACTAACTGAAATATGCCAACATTGTTAAATCATTGCTCCAGCAAAAGCTTCTGTTATTCACAGATTAATCAGGCTTCCCCTTCAATAATCACTTTTGGCCCCTCACACACATATCCCATCCCCACCTTCTTACTCCTATGGCTCCTTTCATGCCTCTAGACATCCCTGTCTGATAGAATTTTCTGAACTGATGGAAATGTTCTATATATGCACTGTCCAATATAGTAGCCACTAGCTAAATGTGGCTATCAAGCACTTGAAATGTGTGAATAGGAACTAGTGTGACTGAGGAACTGAATTTTTAATTTTTTCTCATTTTGATTAATTTTAATTTAAATAGCCACATGTGGCTTATGGCTATTGTATGGGACAACATGCCTCTAGAATGAGAATTTTGGTCTCTGTACATATACAAACACATACACACACACACACACACACACAGAGAGAGAGAGCTCTGTTCAAACTCAGGGTCCCATGAAAACCAAGCTCAAGAGAAAGCCAGTTCAGGCCATCCTCACTGCACTCGGGTCCCAAGCCTGAGAATAGGCTTCCCACATACCCGTACCCATGCTCATACCCATACTCATATCCACACTAATACACATACTTATCCTACCCATACCGGTACCCATGCTCATACCCATACTCATACATATACTCATCATATCCATACTCATACCCATTTCCATACACATACTCATCATACCCATACCCATGCACATATCCATACCGATACACATAATCATCATATCCATACTCAGACCCATGCTCATACCCATACTCATACCCATACTCATACCCATACCCATACACATACTCATCATACCCATGCTCATACGCATACTCATACGCAGTGTAGAACATCAGAATGAAAGCTAAGGAGAATGCAAAGTATCAATACAGCAGAGGAGGAAGGAGATGGCTTGGCAAGGTTCCTCCCACTTCTGTCCTCCCAACAGCCTCAAATACAGCCAGGAGTGGAACCAAGGCAGGGGCTCGGTAGTCAGACCCAGCCCTGACGGGAGCTGCTGAAATCAGCCCTCTAGTTGGAGCATCATTGCCACACTAGGGCTAATCCAGGTTGCCCGATCATGGAGATCAGGGGGTTTGGGAGAGGGAAGCAGCATGAGAACAGGGACCTCACAGGCATGGCTTCCCAGAGGCTGACCAGCTGCCAGGAAGGGTGGTAATGAGGTTAGTGTGTTGTGTTTGCATACTTGTATAATATCTAGAGTTCTCATAAACATTTTCTCATTGGATCCTCAGAAATACCCTGTGAGGCAGGAAGGGCAAATTTCCTTCTTCTACTTGAGAAAGGAAAAAGCTGATGTTCAGAGAAGTTAGGTGACTTGACCAGGGTCACACAGCAAGTAAATGGTAATGACAAAAGCAGAGTCCGTGTCTCCTGACACTTAATCCAGTGCTTCTGTCACTCCGTTATGCTATCAGAGAACTCACTTTTTTTTTTCTCTATAGCTAATAGCAAATTGTACATCTAAGGAAACAGGACCTGTAACTATTTTTCTCTGTCTTTAACAATATTGTTTTCTACTTGCCATTTGTAAGTCTGAGCACCTCTACAATTCTTTAAGGGGGTTGATGTGTGTCTCCCACAGCCCTCATCATAACCAAAGCCACTTGTCATGGAGCTGATTCTGACTCATGGTGACCCCATGTGTGTCAGAGTAGAACTGTGCTCCACAGGGTTTTCAATGGCTGATTTTTTGGAAGTAGATCACCAGGCCTTTCTTCTGAGGTGCCCGGGGATGAACTCAAACCCCTCCAACCTTTTGGTTAGCTGCCAAGTGTGTTAACTGTTTGCACCACCTAGGGGCTCCCCTCTTATCCTAAGGGGTCACATAATCAACAAGCCACATTAGAAGCACATTAGGAAGGCTATACATATCCTGACGAGATTAATGCTTGGTTCCTTTCTGCAGGGATGTGCCTGCCAGAAATACAGGAAATTCCTTTATAATATAAACTAGAACTCATGTCCATGAATGAGACTATAACTATGAAAAAGGCTGCTCTTAAAGAATAGCTTCAGCAGCTGGAGAGAACAGAGAGAATTATAGACAAGTCTGAAATGAGCAGCGCAGTACAGTCAGTGGCATCGCTAGGGTAGGTGTCACCTAGTCCAGTAACTCATGGTATCACCTTTCCGCCATGCTAATTACCACAATATTGTCACTGAAACACCAGAAAATTTGACAAAATCAGCGATTATAAAAATACCAGTGTGTTCAAATGAAGCCACATGATTCAAAGTCATTGTAATTGGGTAACAATGACCGCTCTGACCAGAGCGCATTAGAAGGTTCAAACAGTAAATTAGCATAGAGTTTTAGCCTTGTAGGTATATTGATACATGTAAGCTGGGCTTACCAAAAATGTTTCTGTTGTTATAACTAACTGCAGGGCTGTTTTTATAAAAAATAATAAATTTCTGCTGAAACACAGCACAAAAATTTTATAGACAGTCATTTTGGTGTCGCCCCCTCTGACAATGTCACCTGATGTGGTCTGCACCCCTTGTATCCCTCTAGTGACGCCACTGAGTACAATGGAATGATAATCATTAACATCTAGATAACCAGAAACCAAACCCGTGGCTGTCGAGTCGATTCTGACTCAGCAACCCTATAGGACACAGTAGGGTTTCCAAGGCTGTAATCCATATGGAAGCAGACTGCCACATCTTTCACCCTCCGAGCAGCTGGTTGGTTCAAACTGCTAACCTTTTGGTTAGCAGCCATGCGCTTTAAAAACTGTGCCACCAGGGCTCGTCAATATCTAGATAGTATTAATAAAAAACGCTTATGTAGTGTTCCTAAAGACTTCAATCTTTATGACCATCCTGTGAGATAGGTACTATCCTTGTTCCTTTTTTCTGATTGGGAAACCAAAGCACAGAGAGTTAACTAATTTGACTGAGGTCACACAGCTAATAACTGGTGGAGTCAGGATCCAAATACGGACTCCATGGCCCCAGAGTCCATGCTCTTGACCATTATGCTGTATTGTGCAGACTTTGGAGCCTAGGAGACCTGGGTGTGAGATTTGGTTCCAGCAGTTAGCTGCAAGACCTTGGGCAAGTCATTCAACTCCTTTTTCTAAAAAATGAGGATAATGATACTTATCTTGATATGAAGATTAAGGGAAATAACATAGCACCTTGCCCACAAATGCAGTCAACAAGCAGCAGTATTACTGTTACTGCTGTAGCTGACCACTGCGAAATTGTTTTCCAGAATCGCCTAGAATGTGTCAAGCCAGTGTCATATTTGTGATGCTGGAACACACACACACACACACACACACACACACACACACACACACACACACACACCTTGGAACAATCTGATTCCCACCACCCTCTGCTTTTTCTGTCTTTCTTTTTAGGGAAAACCAAAACCTGAATTAACTTGGAAAAAGGATGGTGTGGAAATTGATAAGAATGAAATAAATATTCGCAACTCTGAGACTGATACTATCGTATTTATCAGAAAAGCAGAGAGGAGCCACTCTGGGAAGTATGATCTACAAGTCAAAGTGGGAAAATTCACAGAAACCGCATCGATAGACATCCAGGTCGTTGGTAGGTTTGGAGAAAGGAACAAGGACGTTCTGTCAAAGCAACATGGTGACTAATGGTCCTTGTAATTAAGGCAGGAGTAGGAATGTTTGTCAGCCTGGCTCGACATAAAATTCTGAGTTTAAAAAAAAACAAAGATGAAGTAAGATTTGTTAGCATTTCAAAATAATTTTTAACTGAATAAAAGGACTCCTCATGGGAGATTTGGGGCATTTATTAAAGAAAACTAATGTATATACTTTTTAGTGAAAACCATCTGTACTGCTTTATATCTAGCTTCTCTCTTTCTCTTAGTCTTTTAATACCCTGATGATAAAACAGTTTCCTGTGTTGAATTGTTGCATAAAAAAACCTTGTAAATTCTAGACATAGTTTAACATGTTTCTTACTGCACCTAAAATTCACTGATAATAATGTTTTAATGGAGCATGAAGAATTTTTGTTAAATGTAAGGAAGACTTAGCTAAACCAAGTTAAACAGTTAAACACTGAAGGGCGAGCTATATGCTTATCTGGCCAAATAATAAATAAGGTTAGGTCTTACTTAGGTCCAGAGTTAGAAGAATTAGAGGAAGGATCCTATATGGATAGACCCCTCTCACTTGAATGGTTCTGTAATTTTTGCATTGTCAAGAAATAAATTCAAGAGCAGAGCTGGGAGAAGCCTTGTTTCCAGTCATTTTTATTGTTATATTTCAGCAAAGTTGCTGGATTCTGTAACCAAGGGGCAACTTCCTGTGGCAAGCCTCCCTTTGGAAGAAAGTTCACGCCCCTTAAACTAAACATTCTTTTTCCATTGGCTAAACTCTTGTTTTTTGTTAAGTTGAGAGGAGTGTGGAGACAGCCTTGTGCCCTTGCAATCTGACATGTTGCCATTCTAGTGGAAGATGATAGGGGCCTGGGAGAGTTCTGCCTCCTGTAAGATAAAGAAAAACACGGTTGCCTTCAAGTCGATTCCAACTCAAGGCGGCCCCATGTGTGTCAGAGTAGAACTGTGCTCCATAGGGTTTTCAATGGCTGATTTTTCAGAAACAGATTACCAGGCCTTTGTTCCAAAGCACCTTTTGGGTGGACTTAAACATCCAACCTTTCAGTTATCAGCTGATCACGTTAACCATTTGCACCACCCAGGGACACTGTAATACAAGGAAGGGCATTAAAAAATATCCTCATGTAACAAGCTACAGGTTGGGAAGGAACGTAGCTTTACAGTGATGCCGTGATTTTATGCTCATAGACCGTCCTGGCCCACCTCAATTTGTGAAGATTGAAGATGTCTGGGGGGAGAATGTTGCTCTCACATGGACACCACCAAAGGATGACGGGAATGCTGCCATCACAGGGTACACAATCCAGAAGGCTGACAAGAAGAGCATGGTAAGGTTTGGCTTTCTCTGGTTCAGTACCAACAGCAAAGGGTTAAGCTTTCAAACAGGGAAAATCTCATTTCATCAGAGGTAAAGGGGGAGGCATGAGGTCTTCTCTGGCAAGGAACTCATGGGGGCTGTGGAGAAGTAGTCTGACGTATTAGAAAGGGTAAGCCTTTGGAGCCACAGAGAGTTGGATTTGAATCCCAGTATTGCCACTTACCGTTATGTGTCTATGGACAGTCACTTAACCTCTTTGATCTCCATTTTCCTCTTCTATAAAATAGGGGCACAAATACTTACCTTTTTGGTTATTATACAGCTAAAAATGTAAAGCAGCTGGCATAATGCTCAATGGGAGTAATTTATTATTATTTTATTAATAAAATTCATTTCTTCAGCAAATATTTGCTCACTCTGGATTCTGACTCACATTTACACCCATGCAACTTTTTCTCCTCATGAAATAAATGTTGGATCATGTGGATCTATATATCAAAAGGAAAAAAAAAAAAAGACACTGCTTAGAAAAGAAAGATCCTAAAGGGAGTAACATGTGCAAAGGTCTTGAGAAGGGAAAGAGCTTGGGGTATTCAAGAACAACCCAGTTGGAGTATAAATTATTGTTACCCCTGTTCTACAGATGAGAAAACTGAGGTTCAGAGAAGATAAAGGACTTGCTGGAGGTCACTGGCTTTTAAATGGCAAAGTCTGGGTCTTTCTGAATCAGCGTTCATCCACTACACCCTACTACCTACTCTACCTATAAATGAATGAATGAATAAATGAGTATTTGGACATAAATGGCATAGAGGCATTTTTCATTCTCACGAAAAGAGTTAAACATCATCCTTTATGATATTGATAGGAAGTCTTTAGGTCTTTACACTAGTAGATCTTTGTTCATGAAGCCACACAGGATTATAGAAGAAGGGGAAAGAGTTGAAAAGAGCAGTCTAAGTAACAAGAAGACTCATCACCAAGAGGTTTCAAGCCTCTGCTTTCCATAGGCTATTTTTAGCACATCTTTTTTTTTTTTTTTTTCCTGGATGGGTATTACATGACAAGATCAGATTTGGCATCTAAAGCGGGCTCTTTCATCTAAACCTGGGCAGCTTGAGAGCAGGACTGATGCATGACTCTGCAAGGGAAGTACCTGAACACCTTGGATTTACTTAGCAGTGAGGGTTCCTCCTTGGACCTTAGACCTGACATTGGCAGTGAATTCATGGGTACCACAGTTACTGTAAGGAGCCCTGGTGGTGTAGGGGTTGAGCGCTTGACTGCTATCTGAGAGGTCGGAGGTTCAAACCCACCAGTTGCCCTGTGGGAGAATGATGTGGCAGTCTACTTTCATAAAGATTACAGCCTTGGAAACCCTATGGGGCAGTTCTACTTTGAGTAGAACTTTTGAGTCAGAATCCACACGACAGCAAAGGGATGGTTACTATAGGAGGGCCCTTCAGGCCACTCTCACTCTCATTCTTCCTCCCCATCAAACCTGCCCAACATTTATTTTCTTAGATATCCAGTTAGATCCTGGTGAGCCAGGACTTTCCTGCTGTTTCATGTGACTGAGGTCTGCCTGGTGACAGGTGATGACCCCCAGCCCCTACACCCGGTGTTTCTATCGTGTTTCAGTGGGGCAGACTTATAGAACAGAAGATGCTCTCTGCCCTGTGCACTGCCCAGGAGACCACCACCCCGTTGTTGCATTGTGGCTTCACATGCTGTTCTTCACTTAAATTCCTATAATCATTCGTACCCCTCAAAAACGTTTTTATTATGTGTATCCAAACTTTCATTTATTCAATCACTTACTATGTGTTGAGCACTGTTCTATCTACTGGATCTTAAAAAAAAAAAAAAAAGACAGCTCCTATTCTTCAGGTACTCACAGTCTAGTCAAGAAGACATAAAACCAAATGATAATGCAAGTAGTACATGTGAGAATAAAAGTTTGCATAAGATGCTTAGGGAATAGACAAGGAAGTAACTACATTTTCCTACATCTTAAACATCTCAAAAATACCTAGAAATCATGATGGCCCCTAAAAGTTCCAGAGAAAATGAGTTCCCTTTATTAACTTTCTGTCAGCAAATGTATTTTCTCAGTGAGTGGTATGAAACATGCATGGTGCGATGTGATTTTCCTACTGGTTGCAAGATAAACTTTGAAACTACTGTATTTCTTGGTATGATGAGGAGACAATTGAAAAAAAAAAAGTTTAATGTAGCTTTAACTACTCATTCATTCAAGCATCCTATAAATATTTATTGAGCACCTACTACGTGCCAGGCTCTGTGATAGGCATTGAGAATACAAGGACTGAGAAGAAAACATTAATCTCCACCATCATGGAATGTGCATTCCAGTGGGGGAGACAGACAGTAAACAAGTAAAGTAGTAAATATCAATATAATTTAAGGTAGCAGGTGCTGTGAAGAAAAATTAACCAGGCTAAGGTGATAGAGGGTGCCCAAAACAGTGGGGAAGTGTAGGGAGGAAATTCTCTGTGAGGAGGTGATGTATCTGAGCAAAGACCTGAAAGGCCCTAAGTTAATAATATTAGGCAAATTTATTAGACAATCTTAATTTCTCTCTAAGGAGTTTGTTTCCTCTTTTCCACATAACAGATAAGTTGGCACTAAAATTTTATAGTTATACTTTGTTATACAAAAGATAGATATAGACAGGTAGTACAGATATGAAGACAATATAAAAATAATAGATTATAGCTAAGGTGTGAATTTAATGTGGAAATGAAGATTAAATTACATTTAAATTACAATTTAATTTCTTTTAGTTATGAAGGAACCCCGTTTTTATACTAAGCAACAGTTAGAAATTTTGTGTATTTTTATGTGATTTTCCTCAAATTATTTATTTTTTTCCTTCAGGAATGGTTCACTGTCATTGAACATTATCACCGAACCAGTGCCACCATTACTGAACTGGTAATAGGAAATGAATATTATTTCCGGGTCTTTGCTGAAAACATGTGTGGCCTCAGTGAGGATGCAACAAGGACTAAAGAGAGCGCCCTGATCGCCAAGGATGGTGAGTAGACTGGATATCTGGAAACCTTGGTTCCCGGTGACTGGAAGGAGAAGACAAAGAAAGAGAGATGTGATGAAAGGGAATAAGAATATGATAAACACACTTTAAAATTACAGTAAAAATGCCCAAGTAAAATCATAGTTTTCTAAGTAAAAATTTTCAAGTGAAACGATATTATTGTTACATTTTTCAAAATGTAAGCTTTAATTCATTCCAGCTTTTGAGCAGTTGGTCTCTAAATGGCTAAAATCACAGGGATAGGAAAAAATAGGCATTTACTTCTTGAATTTCTGTTACTTTTATTCTTGGACGCCCTCAGTATAGCTACACATGGACCCACTCTGCAATGAAAGAAGAAGCCGAATTCCACCCTTAACCGTTTCATTTCATCATAAATCACTGTCTTTAAAGTGCTTCCTTGTTACTTTCATATTAGAACACATTTCTGATCAAAATACTCAGACACCGAATTCTTCTCAATATTTATTTAAGTTTCACTTAACTGCTCTGGTGTCCTGTGCCACGTGTGATGGGCTATATATCTGTACCCTTCAGAAAGTGTGCCGTGTGGCGTTTGCCCAGGTTTTTACATGTTTTTCTAAGCTCAGGGAACTTTTAATCGCGACTAAAGTATGGCAGGAATAATATAATCTCTGGCCAACTTGTAGATGTTTAGTGTTTGTTTTTAAGGTAAAATCTACAAAAATCCAGTGTATGATGACTTCGATTTCACTGAGGCACCCATGTTTACTCAGCCTTTGGTTAACACCTATGCTGTAGCTGGTTACAATGCCACCCTGAACTGCAGTGTGAGAGGGAATCCTAAGGTACCATGGTTTTCTATTAAATTAATGAAATTTAAGAACTAACCCCAAACTCACTCTTTTATGTCTTCCATGTTATAATTGTAAGTGATAATATAAACTGATCTTGCAACTACTAGGGAGTCCTTGGGTGGTGCAAACGGTTAAACGGTTCAGCTACTAACTGAACGGTTGGTCGTTTGAACCCAACCAGAGGCATCTTGGAAGAAAGTCCTGGCGATCTACTTCTGGGAGGTCACAGCCATGATAACCCTATGGAGCACAGTTCTACTCTGACACACATGAGGTCGCCATGAGTCAGAAGTGACTCCACGGCACCTGGTTTTAGGATGAGTTAACATCATGGGTCTGTAGATTAGATTTAAATGCAACTGAATCTGTTTCAGAAGTTTGCCCTAGAGCTGTCCTCTGAACAAATCTGGCTGATTTCTCCAGGACTGCTCGTTTGCCTGCTTGCCAAGCGTTAAGTAGAATTTAATTCGAGAGAGGTGTGCTGTAGTAGATGTGCATTTTTCTTAGATGTGCTTTCTTTTTAAGCTGGGCTTTAAAATTCTGCCACTGGCTCTGATGGTCTATTAATATGCTAAATACAAGCAAGTTTGACCTAACTTTCTTCAATCTTAACTTCAGCCCAAAATAACCTGGATGAAAAACAAAGTTGCTATTGTGGATGACCCACGATACAGGATGTTCAGCAACCAGGGGGTCTGCACCCTGGAGATTCGCAAACCCAGCCCCTATGACGGTGGCACCTACAGCTGCAAAGCGGTCAATGAACTAGGTGCCGCGGAGATGGAGTGCAAACTGGAGGTGAAAGGTATGAGGCCCAAGACCTCTTTATTGGTTAAAGTTAAAGAAAATCATTTTATTATTGTTCTTCCTGCAAAAATCCAAATTGCTTGCCAAAATGGTTGGGTGGAAGTGTGGGGAGAGGAGAAATTTTTACGTTTTGCATTCATTCTCATTTATTTGTTGAAAGCTACTTCATTATTTAAGTAGACTTTTTTTTTTCTTAAATCCCTTGCGATTCTTGTTAACTAAAGGAATATTAACTTCATTGGAATGCTATATGTGTACAGCATGGGGAGAATGAATAAAGTCAGAGGGATATTATTTGGTAGCATGGTATCTGTAACAGGATCCTAGTGCAAACACTCAGTGAAACTTCAATTAAGAAGTTCATGCTAATTTTTAAATTAGCTTACTATTTTGTGAAACTGGTGGCATAGTGGTTAAGAGCTCAGGCTGCTACCCAAGAGGTCAACCGTTTGAATCCACCAGCCACTCCTTGGGAACCCTATGGGGCAGTTCTACTCTGTCCTTTAGGGTCTCTATGAGTCGGAATCGACTTGATGGCAATGGATTTGGTTTGGTTTTCAACATATGTATAGACAAGTTTACTAATTTAGTGCTTAATATGTTATGCATATAGAATATAGCATCCTGTATTATAAACAATTGCTTCTAAAATCTCACTAAGGAATCTCCAATTATAGGTATGCATTTCATTTATCCTAGTTTTTATACGCATTGCAAGTAATTTAGACCAAGAAAACACATAAGGAGTTAGGTGGTAGAAACCTGCCATCTTAAGCCATTTTTTAAAAATATTAATTGACTATAATTTTTATATTGAATTTTTTCTTGACAATCAAAACCTACTTTGGGACACTGTGAAAACTCCTGTATCTGCCAGAGTTACAGTGATGGGATAATAGGTGACATGATCCCAATGTGTTTTATCTTGTTCTTATTGTATCATGTTGTCATTCTGTGATAACCAATGTCTTTATTTTTCCTACCTCTCTATATGAAGAAATTATCTAAAAGTCAGAAAGACTATGACTTTACTTACATAAACCTCTAGTATAAGTAGTTATTTTAGAAAATCATAGTAAATGTTTATTTATAGAAAAAATAAATAATTTTTTAGTCCTAAATATGGTATAAATATGGCAGAGAGACTTCTTACAAAACAGCATTTCCTTTTATAGCTTTTGAAAACCAATATTCTTTCACTTATTTTCTCCTCAGATATATAGTATAGTAGACTCCTAATGATAGGGAAACTTATTTTTCTTTTTCCCCTCAAATATAAAGTATATAATATTCTTAGAAAACCTCAACCCTTACTACTAAGATAGTTCTTACAAATGAAAATGTTATTTTTTTCCAGCTGCTTTATTAGATTTAAATGCAGATTAAGGTCACAGTTGCAAATACTTTGGTTTCTAAACTTGTAGTGTTACTTGGAACCCTTAGTGGCCTAGCGGTTAAGAGTTTGGCTGCTAACCAAAAGGTCAGCAGTTCAAATCCACCAGCCACTCCTTGGAAACTCTATAGGGCAGTTCTACTCTGTCCTATAAGGTTGCTATGAGTTGGAATTGACTCAATGGCGATGGGTTTATGGGTTTTAGTCTTACTTGTTCTGAGGTATTGTTGATGTTTATGCTTCAATATGCCAAAAAACTCCAGAACAATACCACTTGTAAGTGCTTTGTTGCTGAATAACATTCAATAACTGAATGTTGCTAATGATATAAAATGATGCTTTCATAAATGGTTCAATGTGGAGGGGAGACCTCCATGAAAGTGAACAACGTTATGCATGTAGATGATATATTTTTATAGTCTGTAATTGAATTTAGTAAAATGAATAATGTAATGCGTAAAGTGTCAGCTAGATATATTGGTAAAAGCTTTTGGTCCTAGAAATGAAGCTGAGATTGTTTATCATCAGATTGTTATCTGATAATAGGTGACTTGAATTAAGTTAAACTATGAAAGGAAAAAAAGGTTAAGAATGTCAACTGAGAATAAATAAATACTGGTACAAATATTCTAATTCTACAGTGATGTATCAAGGAGTAAATACCCCTGGACAACCAGTCTTCCTGGAGGGGCAGCAACAGGTTTAAAAAGTTCATATCCCACTGGATATTTCTACTTTCTGTTCCATTCCTCTTACATGAAAACGCACATTGCATGTAAAGCTTGACTTTCTCATTTGCTTTTAATGGTATTTCTTAGCAGCCCATGGCATACAGTGTTTATGCCATGGATAAGGAAGGCCAAATTATTCAAGGATATTAAGTAATTTAGGAACCAAGTTTTGCCAGAAAACTAAGTACTTTACTGCAGATCCCAGTTTGTAAAGCCAGAAAGCTGTATTTGAGGATGACCTCATTTTATATGTAAGGCTATCAAAACTGGGGAACGAATGACATTGCTTTAACATGTTCATTTTTCAAATGCAGAGAAATACAACCTTCCTTTAAGATAGTTTCCAGTGTCGTTTCCTTAGAATCATGTTGAAACTCGAAAACTGAACATTTTTAAATTGCTAAATTTTAGAAAAAGGATTCTGGGTATTGTTGATGGGAACAGGACACAAATAAAAATATATTCAATCTTTGGAAACTTTCACATTTAAGACTTTACAATTACAAATTAACTAGTAGCATATTTGTAACCCATCTATCTGTTGGACATTTTCATGGGACTGAAATTATTTCACATATTTATTTCACATAATTATGAATCTAAAAGAATTAGGTGAAATAATTTCAGTCCCATGAAATGTCCAACAGATGGATGGGTTACAAATATGCTACTAGTTAATTTGTAATTGTAAAGTCTTAAATGTGAAAGTTTCCGAAGATTGAATATAAAGAATGGAAACCCTGGTGGTGCAGTGATTAAGAGCTACAGCTGCTGCTAACCGAAAGGTCGGCAGTTCAAATCCACCAGGCACTCCTTGGAAACCATACGGGAAGTTCTACTATGTCCTATAGGGTCACTATGAGTCGGAATCGACTCAACCGCAATGGGTTAGATTTTCTGGTTTTTTAATTAAAAGAATAAATTAAAAGAATAGAAATTTCTAGGCCCTGTTACAGAATGTATAAAGCTATAAATGAGTCCTGTCATATGTATATGATTCGCTCCCATTTGGAAGAGCAACTTAAAGAGTTCTTTGGGGCTGGGTAAACAACCCAACGTAAACTCTAATGAGGTAGATCTATGCCTCAGTTTACAGTGTTTGCTCTCTGAATTCCCAGAGATGATGTCAGTTTTCAAATGAGGAATTAGAGTTCTCTGTAGAGTTTTGTAGATTATGTATGTAATCACTTTGTAGCCTAAGTTTGTTTAAGTCTTGTGTTTATTTAGATCAGTTATATATAATCGGTTTAGAATACAGTATTGTAGAATACTAGTTATATTAAAAATATTATTAGGTCTGCTTGATAATTTTGCCTTTTAGAATTTCAACATATATATATGTACACTAATGCTTTGTCTATTGTCTATGTTTTTCTTTTGTTGAAAAACACTATATATATATGTTGTAGGCTTTTTTTCCCCCTTAAGCTAATGGTTTGGAAGCTTTTACCATAAATATTCACTGTACAATCAAATTGGCTCTGCCACCTGCTCAGACACAGGGGGGTAGAAACCAATTTATTGTGGTTGTGCATATTAATAAATTGTTTACATATTAATGATCCTTTTGAAGTGACTGGATTCCTGCCCTTCATTCCATGTGCTTCTATTTTCCTACACCTTTCACATGACTAAGGATTAATGAAATCACCTCAGCATAATCATGACTGTAATTTCATCCAACAAGTACTCAACTTTGGTGTTAGCACTTTTATTAATGCTTACAACTTCTCTCTCTCTCTCCCCCTCTCTCTTCCTTAGTTGTAGCACAGTAAGGATTTTTGAATGTGTATTCATCTAAGGTAAGCTTTCATATGGTTTTGGCATATGAAGCTTATGACTGTCATAAGCCATACAAAGCCTGTGGAGTATGGCATGATTTTCATTATGGAATCCAATGAAAACAGACTATTTAAAATCGCTAACTTTGTAGTTTTAACTTGTATTTCAGTATCTTGACATTAACAGCTAGTACTTTTTCCTCATGACAATCTCCTGTTGACATGAAGCAAGTTGTTGAATGCAATAGAGCATGAATTAAAGCATTTAATATAGATGGAAATGCGTGACATCCAAGCATTCTGATGTCTTTGCATCAAGGAATGGACATGTACATAAATGGCATCATTTCTATCAATATGTGACTTGGATTTTTTTAAAAAGGAGAATGATGTTCTCAAATTTGCATTAAAGAAGTTTTAAGAATGTTCAAATGGCATGCTGTTTTTGTCTGTACGTGAATTTATTAGCAAGTTGTGAAACATTTCTCTAAAGGACCATGAATTTTTATGGTTTCATGGCTTCTCTCTTAAAGGGTACTTTTATTTTTTAAGTGTAATTCAGAAACGCGGAAGGTAGGTATGAAGTATCAGTAGGTGTTTCTCTCACCTTCAGAAGATACTGGACAGGTCTTACTATTTTTAGCAAAATAGTTCCGATTTTTTGCACTTTTGAGAATGTATTGAAGGTGTAATAGCCACAGTTAAAGGAGTATTCCCTTTTTCTTCTCCTTTGTGCCTGAATTGGAACTCTTTGTGCTTAATTAAAAAGAATATTAACAAACTGGAAACAGATCTTCCCTCTGATCCATAACCTGGTTCGCATTCAGTCTGCCACTGAGTCAGAACACTTAAATCACTTAAATCACCTATAGACGAATCACAAAACCTCTCAAGGAGCAGTAAATGCTTTTTAACCATTAAGGAATTTAAACCACACTTGAATAACATTAAGGGGAGAAAAAAGAAAAGAAAAAAAAAAAAAAACCACTATGGGTCTGCTGGGAACTTGCTTTTCCTTCTAGATGCCAAGTGCTTTAAATTTTAAATGTACTAAAACCAGGAGGAGATTTCCAAGTAAGGACTGAATGAATCTTTGTAACTAACTGGAACATCATTAGTCATGTTTCCAGGGAGCTAGTCCAAAAGCATTATTTCAGCGATTTTTTTCACGTACACAGTTTTGACTTTTCCTTTTCCTTTTTGTCCTCTCTAGGTGGGCTTTCCTTCTGCAGGCTCCTCTTGCAAGGTGTGCCTCCTAACATAATTGATTCATATTTGCGAGATGTACAATCAAGCACTCCTGAGGAAAACTAAGGGCCTGGGCACTGCCTCGCTGCACGCCACTGCTTTGAAATCTGGTTGCAATGAAAAAGCATTTGCTGTTTTTCCACCAGGTGTCCAAGTGTGGTTGTTTTCTTTCCTCCTAATGTTGAAAAAAAAAAAAGGTTTGCACAGATTGCTTAATTAAAAATTGCAAACAAAATTTCACATGAAGTCAGCACTTTTGTCATTGTTGTCTGTCCTTAGTCACTGGACTTTACAACAACAACAACAAAAAGCTGTAGAATAAGCAAAAGCAGTTTATTTTAGTTTAAAGTATTAAGCTGTAAATACATTTTTCTCCCGGAGTAAAAAAACAGCACAATGCGCCATGATAGAATCTTGAAAATCCGTCTTTCTATCGGCCTAATAGATTTTTCTAAGCAAAGCAGAGTTGTTTCACGCAAGCCTAAAACACCAGCAGCCTTTTCCTGTACCTTTTTTCCATTTGAATTTACTAAAAGACTTACTTCTTAAAGTCTAACTTTCAAACTAGTTCTCTCAACAAAAGGAAAAATGTATTCAGTTAATGGTACAATAAATCTGAAGTGTTTATGACAAAATGACACAGTATTTGTTTATTGGTTTGGGGTTGTGTGCTCAGACACAGAACTGAAGACAAAAGGCTGAGAGCAAGATGCTACTCAATTCAGGCCTGGCCTCCATGATGTCACTGGTGTGGTCAAAACCAGTTGCCATCGAATCAGCTCCAACTCATGGTGATTCCATGTGTGTCAGAGCAGAACGGTGGTTCTTCATAGGATTTTCAATGGCTGAGTTTTTTGGAAGTAGATCGCCAGGCCTTTCTTCTGAGGCACCTCTAGGTTGAACTTGAACCTCCAACCTTTTATAGCAACCGAGTTGCACCACCTTGGGAACATCCTGGCCAAATCCCTGACAGCTCCACCAAAACAACTGGGCATAGAAACAGAGAACTGTTGCAGAATAGAGCAGTTACAGATTTAGGGTTTACTGATGGCTTCTGTTTAAATTGAAGGAAACCTTTTTAAAAATTGAGCAGCTGAGAATCATTTGTACTAGCCCATAATTGTTTCAGCAACTTCCTCCACTCTTCTGGATGTTAAATGAAGTTTTAGTTAAGTGAGTGGAGTAGGAGTGTGAGGAGTTTTTCCTTTTAGGTCTTTTGTTCAGGGGCTAAATACATGTTACTTGTAGCTATGCTGGCAAGACATTTGAAAATACCTGCTTTTCTTCCTTTACAAATTGGAGCTGGGAAGTTGTGATGGTGGTCATGGATCTGGCTTGATGGGGGAGAGGAGGAGATGGCTCAAAAAGAGAAGAGTAGTAGCAGTACATTTGGGAATAGTGGGGGAAACTGAAGGAGCCCTGGTGGCGCAGTGGTTAAGCGCTCGGCAGCTAACTGAACCCACCAACTGCTTCCCGGGAGAAAAGACCTGATGCTCCCTAGTAAACCCTATGGGGCAGCTCTGCTGTGTCCTGTAGGGTCACTCTGAGTCGGAATCAACTCGATGGCACATAACAACAATAGGGAAACTATGTAGTTCCTGACCAAGCAATGGTGGCTTCTTTTTCTGTTCTGATTGGTCGGTGATCTCACCTTACTGGTTGTTCAAGATGTTGACCATTACCTCTGTTCCTATACTCTCAACAACTCTACAATGTTAATGTGTGCACTTCCTACACAAACACCCATTTTAATCAGGAAATCTATTTACACATTATTGGCTAAGGGATTTTATATAAAGCAAGTCTGGCACATCTCTAAAGACGCAAAGACCATATCTCTATGTGCAAACCCAATAAATGACTACATGGCAAACTAATCAGGGTGGCCCCTGTAGCCTGGCTGCTCGGTTAGGGCCACAGTGCTGCAGCTGAGTTGGCTGCCTAACTCAAAGCAAACACAGGTGGACCAGTTTGCCACGTCATAGTCGAGTTTGTTAGGCCACTTGTAAGCATAGCTTAAAAGTGACTATAGCACATCCTTACAAAATTTTGGCTCCCCAGGTATGACCTAAGTTCTGTAACTGTATTTTGTACTAATAATGTTGCTTTGATCATAATGAAGAGCATATGACCTCTCTTCATATTAAAGTCACTCTCACACTGTAAAGTTTCAATAAGGAGGAAAAAGCCCATTTTGAAACAGAAAAAGGGCAAAAAAAGTCAGAAGCTGTCATTTCTATATTTCCCCATATTTTTATCCTGATTTTGCTTAAATTTCACTCTGTTAAAGAAAAATAATATATTCCAGGAACTACCAAAAATTCTTTTTGGGGAACTAAACATTGGACTTTTTAAAGAATCACACATATTAACTAACTTTAAAAGAAAGCTTGATGAATGTTCTCATTTAAATTAACACAGAAGTAGAAAAAAAGCTCACTGGTTCCCAAAAACATTGAAACAGAATAGTATGTCCTTAACCATTCATTTTTAAAGTGATTTCTGAAACATTCTATTCAGTTTAACAAAGGGGTTACTGAATGTCTGATGTGTGCCCAGCACTATGATGGATTCAGCTAGGAACCCAATGATGAATAAATTACTTCATGCCTTTAAGGAATTTGTCACGTATAAGACTAGTAGTACACAACAGGAAACATATAAACAAGATAGAATACATGTGTTATAAGAGAAATACAAAGAAAGTGATACAAGGATTCAGAAATTGAATAATGTGGTTTGTATATTTATTCTTATTGATGTATGTATCACAGTAGGATGAAGTATAGGGCATGCCACATTATTTTTCTAAATCAAATTAAATATGCCTGTGAGCCCCCAATAAGTCAGGAGATCAAGAAACTCTCTGTGTTTGGGGGTCCTACCATAGCCCTTGGGTCGACTGGAATCTGAGGGCTTTTCTGGTGCCTGAAAATGGAGAGGAGAAAAGGCTTCTGGTCTCAGTCTATACTGGCGACCACAGAGATGCTTGTGTTCCAACTCAGCATGGTCAAAGACAGGTGACTCTGAAACCTCCCTGAGTGTAGGCCTAGGGTATTTTGGCTGCCATTTTTGAAGAAGTTCTTCATGGGAACACTGGACAGTTCCACCACTCAGTACCAGCCTTAGACCTGGGCAGGAGGGGCCTCTGTACTTTAGTCAGCCTCACTCCGGCCCTCCTCCAGCCCTGGTCTCCCTCCACAAGGTAGGGGGTCCGTGGAGTCAAGTGAACATGCCCAAATTAAATTTTGATAACTTAGAATGAACTAGAGAAACAATCCCGCAAATGGAATGACCGGTTCTCCTGAGTGCTTTCATCACCTTCGTAAAGTCACCTGATGATCTCTCTGTCCCCAAATGCACTGGCCAGAGAAATTCTTGCCTGGTCAAATATTTTTCTTCTGTCTGGAGTGGTTACTTGGGACACGATACCAGGGAGGTGGCAGAGGTGTTAGACACTGCCCAGAGAGGGGTCTCAGGATGCAGCTTGGGATACAAGTTGATTATCAATAAGACATTAAGAAAAAAACCCACTCAAGTGCATGATCAGTCCTAACTTCTTTTTCTCCCAAACAATAGCTTTAGAAAGAGTCTTTCTTTTCTTCGTAGATAAGCACTTAACATAGCTGCCCACAGGTAAGAAATTCACCCCTTTTATTACTCTGCTCTCACCTTCATCCTAGTCTTGGAGCCCAAGGAAACAACTTAAAGACAGTATACACCAATTTTAAAACTTCAGCTTAACGTTTTTAAAGTTAATTTAAAAAATAATAACAACTAAGAGTTACTTGCAACTCCGTGGCAAGCAAAGGAACCATTATTTATATTTTGTAAGGCACCCCTTCCCCCCTTGGAGGATTGAGACAATAGATAATTGGAAGGGAGCCATGTTTCAAAATAAGCCAAAGCTGGTTTGAAGTTATGTGGCCACTTGGAAATTCCAGGCGCTAGAGAGCCAAATAATACATACCCTGCAGGTGATAGGATGGAGTGCCATTTGGCTGGCTATCCTAGCTCCACTCCTGAGTGTCCACTGGGGGGGGGGGGTCCTTGTCAATTCAGTTCCCATTCCTGCACTGGGAAGTACACTGAGCTGGAGGCAGTTGAGATAATAGCGGAGGTTACCAAGAAGAGGCAGAGCCCCACTTTGCAGGGTTATTTTTTTGCACTTCCTAATCACTCATAGTCAGGGCTGAATAAACATTAGCTAGCAGTGGAAGTAAGAATTTGTTGGCATGATGCACTGTTCCCTGGGTCTTCCCATGCTTGTCAAGCCCCCTTAGTGGCAAGCATGAACTCTGAACCCAAAATCTGCCTTTAGTATCTCCACTCCTTCAAGAAGCTAAATAAGTGATAGACAGACTAGGGGGCAGATGTGATAGAGCGGACCAAGTGCAAGGCCAAGCCCTAGGAACAACATCAAGCAGGAGGGAGGGAACCAGGACAGACCAACACGTTGTTTGGGAAAGGTGGTTTCAAGAGCAGCCAAGGTAGAAGTGAAGTCAAGAAATATCCTTACCAGGCAGGGAACTAAAGAAAGAGGAAAAAGCAACAAGAGCCAAAAGCCACTACCAAGACTTTCAAATGTTTATTCTTTCAAATGTAGCCACATGTTGTATTCTGCTCCATGATGTATGAGTCTATTTCAATATAAAAACAATTTTATCTTTCCAGATCCTCAAATGGATATTTGTTCCTCCAGGCACACTGTCAGGAACTAAAAATATCCCAGTTTGGGAATCACAGCATTAGAATAGAAAGCTTCACCAACAACTAACACCCTCACCAACGAACAATAAGTAGATCTCAACTGCTAAACGTATAGATATTATTATGCAATCTGTATATTACTATGCAATCTGTGTGTGCCTTACACACACACACATACATACATACATAAAAACCAGTTACCTTCAAGTTGATTTCGACTCATGGAAACCCCATGTATGTCAGCACAGAACTGTGCCCCACAGAGTTTTCAGTGACTGATTTTTTTGGAAGTAGATCACCAAGCCTTTCTTCCAAGGCACCTCTGTTGGACTTGAACCTCCAACCTTTCAGTTGACAGCAAGTGCATTAATCATTTGCACCACCCAGGCATTCTCATCATCAACCACGCATACATATGGATATGCATGTATGCATGTGTGTATAGATAGATAGCTAGATACAGATATTGATACATATTGTTGTTGTCAGTTGCCATAGAGTCAATTCTGACTCATGGCAACCCCTGTGTGCAAAGTAGAA